ATGTGTATATATATTATTTTTAAAAGAAGAATTTAGTTTTTTTCCTTTTAAACAAAAAATATTTTTTTGCATCAATTGATATATGTATAACAGGATAAGCTTGGAAAGACTGGTAGCTTGATTCAATTAATCAATGGTATTTGCCTACTTTTATCATTTTTCTTTTTCAGAATAGTATTTGGAATTTACATGTCATACCATGCACTACGTGAGTTATTTAAATTTATAATTTTTGAAATTGAATTCATTTTATTTTAAACATTTTATTTATTTTCTTTGCTTTTACTTGTAATATAGAATCAGTTCTACCCGTAGCTTCTAAAATCCCAACATCAATATGTTTAATTTACGGAGTATCTAATATTATATTGAATCTTTTGAATATATTTTGGTTCAAGAAGATGATTGATGCATTACTCAAGAGATTTAGTTCTAACAATAAAGTAGAAGCCAAGAAACATTTTAAATCTAAAGAAGTAATATACCACAATGTTGTGACTTACTCTGCAACAAATACTGAGATTAAATCAAAAAAAGCTTGATTTATTTATCAATTAATTATAACAACATTGGTATGCCACTTGATATTTTTCATTGTATGGGTTTATTATTATTGATTGATTTGAATTTTTCATTATTTTAGAAAGTATTGATTTTTTAAAGATTTCAAAATTTTGTTGCATAATAAAATTTATTATTCATGTTGTATTATTTTTTTTTTGTGCTTGAACAATAGTCAATTTGCTGTTGAATCTATCCATTGCACTGTACTCAACTATTTTGACAACTTGATAAGCAAATGCATATGTGTGTATATAAATCTTTTTTAAAAAAATTTTATATTTATTAAACTTTACTGATTCATCAGATTCATCATCAAACTCATCTTGTTTGATTCTAAAGATGTATTAGAAAATGAAGATGACAAATTTCTGTTGAGTATCATAGACACTGTTCATTTAATTCCTGGTTAAGAATTGCTGAAAGTTCATAATAAATAATTGAATTGTTAAAAGAGAAAAATATATAAAGATTTATTTACTTATTACTTTTCTCTTTCATCATTCAATGAGCCAAACTCACTTTCTTTATCTTCAGGATTTGCATCAAGATGTTTTCCATTGCAGTCAAATTTCCTGAAAATGCTCGATTCAATCTATTTGTTCAGTAAATTTGGTTTATCTAGATTATTTTTATTATTATAATTATAGTTGTTAACAATACCTTTTGACTATTTTCACTAATCTTTGATAAACTCCTTTTACTTGATCATGAAATTTTTTAATATAATTATTATATATTAAGATCTTTGGATTAAACGTTCCACGAAACTGCGTTGGTGAACTGCTTCATTATTGACAAAGCTTTGCATCACAAGTAGTACTAGATCAGGATTTGAGGATCTGGAAATTAATTTGACGTAAATGTAAACTTTGCATGTCCTCCCACCCTAATATAGTCTTCCAAGTTTTTTCGTCACTTACCAATCGTTTAATTTATTATTTCACGTAATATTAATGTATTTTAAAGTAGTTTTCAAATTGAGGGATTAAAAATTTTCTGGTTTATTATCAGCAAACCCATAAGCTTTCCAATAGTTGGTCTTTTTGATATAATATTGGTGCCCGTAAGCTTTCACATATATCTAAGACAATAAACAATAATTATGAACTCTATCATCAAATGATGGATGTCCTGCAAATATTTCCCAAATCAACATCCCAATATCTATTTCTTTTGTGTTCTTTGTATTAATTCTGTCTTTAATACTAAGCTAAGGAAAGACATACATTTTCAATATGTTTTCTGTAGAGGTTGGAATCGTCCAAAAAAATCCTTAGTCGACTAAATTTTTTTTTAATAGTAATTTCTTTTTTGAATCTTTTGCTTTTTCAAAATACTTCCACACAAAACCATGTGTTACAATTCGTTTTTTAAAAGGACTTCTGGAACCACCACTTAAATCATTGGAACTTGAAGCCAATGAACTATTGGACCTTGTATCGGAAGTGTTTATTAGTTCACATGTAAAATTATCATCAACAACACACCACTATTGTCGTCATCATCATATTGTTGGTATTGATACTCTTCCGCATAGAAAATTTTCCATTTTGAATGATAAAACACAAAAATCGTAATTGGTCAGACAATAATAATATTAACATAGTATTAATATTAGCATCAGTATTAGCATTAGTAGTATTAGTAGTCGATTATTAGTCAAAAAAAAGTTTAGTCGGTTCCAACCTCTAGTTTTCTGCAAAGGATATTTTATATGGCATATATATAAATATAATGCATCATCAAAGATTGTAATTCTGTCTTTTTAATGTTAAATTAGAATATTTCTTTATAAAAACTTCACTTTGATAAATAATTTAAAACCATTATTACATAATACAGTCAAACCTTGTCACGGCGGATGAACGGGACACATAAGAAAATTTTATTTAAAATCGAGTAATATTGATCAATTGGACCGAACATCATGAATGCAAAGTATCATATTTATTGCAGGTTGGATATTTCTGCTTGTCCATGTAACAGTTTCAATTGAACAAAGTCCACATTCAGTAATTCTATTATTTTTTGAAGGTGAAGGTCATCAACAATGTCGTTTCCAGATAAAAACCCTGTCATTGTAAACCAATAAAATCTTCACAGAATCAATCCATCAGAGTACCTTGTCACGCGAATAAAATACACGGTCCCGCAGTACTACAATATCTTTCTGATAGAGAACCATCTGCATAGAAGGCCAATGGTTATGGTGAGTGATTCTTGATGGATGTTTATAAGGAAGAAGAAGAAAATATGTATTAGATAAGTTAGCAATTAATCTATCGGTTTGATATATTTAGACAGGAGGTAGTATATTAACAATACGTTGTATTAATATATATCAACTTAAGTTTTGAGCAATTGGCAAAGTAGATATAATTCTGGATCATTCGTTTGGCAATCCTTAGCATTGGAAGCCATTCTTCACATAATATCACCCATGTCAATAGGAATTCCCCTAAAATACTTGACAATGTATTCGATGAACATATTGATAATATAGAACAAATGTGCGACCCGATTACAAAGGCATGGAGACGGTGCAAATTTCCTAATTCATTGGGAATGTGTCGATCGATTTGAAGTTACAACTATATCAATGTTGTTCGTGTCCGCTACTTTAAATGTGCCGGACACTCTTTGGATAAAAGTATTTACTTTCTGCCTTTACTCTCAAGCAAGGCTCTGAATTATTAATATAGGATTATTTAATTACCCGGTTGATGAATTAACTGATATTATTTATAATAATTTCCTTGATCTTGTCTTAACATTTGTGCAAAGTCGTTTAAACAATTATAATTGTGTTAATTGAGTTACGCCTAATTTTACGCCTCGTATTTGTTAAATCAGACATTTATTTAGATGCCGAATTATTCGATTTTTTCTTTTGGGAACCATTTTTTCTTCTCCTGATTCTTCAACATATGCTTTACAAAAGGTTTTGAATTGCTTTGGTTTGATTCAATATCGGTTCTAATAATATGTTGATGGTAAAGGCATTTTCTCACGTTAACTTGTAGCTTGTACTATTAGTCCTGGACGTCCGGGACATTTAATAAATGAGCGGACACGACAAATTGTTACGCGGACATTGTCTGGGACATGTCTGTGTTCGCTCGACATTAGGCGAACATGTCCCGTGTATAACACTGAGCTATGTGATATATTAATATATCAAGGGTTTATGGAATTAAGATGAAGTGAATAAATAAAATTGTGGCAATAGTAACACCGATGAGTCAAGTCCAACATCTACTTTCTTTCCTATCTGAAATTTTCCTTGTTTAAAGATATCATAGTAATTGGGCGGAAGGGTTACTTAATTCGTTAATTTATTGATGATGTTTACCTCTGAATTTTTTGGTACCTCGATGTATTTTCCATTTTTCGATGTTTGAGATTGACCTAATATTTATATAGATTTTGAGATCATTCAAGAAAACTTATCCGATATATGGAGCAAGATAAGAACAAAGTTGTGAATCCCTATGTTTAAAGATTTAGTCCCATTGAGATGAAATGTATTTTTTTTACATGATGTATCTTTATTTCAAATATTTATTCACATGTGTATTAGTAATAAGATGTCATAAACACATAATTAGTTAAATCTAATACAAAGTAGTATGATGGAATGAAAATAAAAAAAGTTCTTATACATCCTGACCCGAAATAATACTTAAAGGATCGGGTTTTCCGGTTTATTCTTGATAAATCCTGTTTGTGTTCAAAATTTTTAAAAAGAATCCTTTTCAAAATATTGATAATATTGTTAAGTCCTATTCCTTTTTAGTACATATATTCTATAGCTGTCAAATTATATGCGTATAATAATATTTAATTAATAATAATAAAGTTTGGTTGGTTTTTTTCCCGGAAAAGATTTTTGGCCTGTAACACTTGTTTAAATTTGCCAAAGCATGAGATTTTTATACAATAGGTAAATCAAAATTTCTTGTATATATATATTACCAATATTCAAAGATCTAGATTGTGAAAGTTGATTTTATAACCATTTTATTAGGAATGTATTTTTAAAAATTTGTATATTTATCAAAAATGCTGTAATTATATTTAAGACTATTATCAAATAAATCATTCTTTATTTCTTCTTCAATTATTTATTGTTTAGTGAATAAATTGATTTCTTGATGATTTTTTTAGGGACTTTTCCGAGATGAATTTGAAGAAGGCATGAATGATTATAATAATTTCCACCTTTCTTGCTTTATTGATTTGCATCCCAGTGCAATTTTCTTGCTTTTAAATTTAAAAACGAAAAATTTTACTTGCACCATCCATTTCAGACTGTAACATATAATTTTATTGGCAATATGCTAATAATAATAACAATAATAATTATTATTATTACAAGCAAAAATTAGTAGTTTAGCTATAGTCATAATGGGTAAAGTTATTTTATTTTATAGGAATCACTCTAATTTCCCTTGGATCCTTGCAGCTTTAAACCTTGAAATCTTTTTTGGCTTTTCTACCTTTTCTGTTACTGGTGGTTGCAATTCTTGTTGGTTCTGTTCTTGTCTCACCTGATTCACAGAAGGTGATAGCTGCGTTTTATTTGTGTTTAAAGGTAAATTTTCCATAATATCCAATTAATTAATGAATTATAATAGGGAAGAAAAGGAAAATCATAAAGTTTTAAGAACCTCATTTTTTTCTTTCAAAAGTCCACCTTCTTTTGCTATGATATCAAGACGTTTTTGATGATACTCTGAAGCAATCTGTACAAAGTAAATAAAAATAAATTAATGTGTGCAATTCAAGAAAATTATTTTACTCATTACCTCTTTCATCCAAAACTGGTTTTCCAATTCATCTAAACCAACTTCAGATTTGAAATCCTTTTCAACTACAATTTCTTTGATTACTTTATTCTTTAAATTTTTTTTTAATATACTTTTATCATCATCATCATCATCATCATCATGATCATCATCATCATCACCATCACCACCGCCATTGCTATCATTATTATAATTGTAATCATCCTCATACTCATCCTCATCATCTGAATCTTGTTGTTGCGTGTGTCTAAATTCATCCTCATTGTCACTATCATCATCATCTTCTTCTTCATCTTCATCATCTTCATCATCAGAATCTTGCTGCTGTATACGTTTCAACTCTTCCTCCTCCTCTTCAATGAATTTATCTAAAAATTTCAGATCGTAATAACCTGACTTTACATCTTTTTCAAATTTCACTGTATATATAATTAATAATTAACAAAATCAAAAATATAATTCAATTAATCTAATTTTTAAAAAAAATTTCACAAAATGTCTACCTTTTTTCGTTGGCTTTTTTGTTGATTCTTTTTCTTCATCAGAATGATATTCTTCAACAATGTCAACAAAAGGTAATCCTTCTTCATTCAACTAAATTAACGATATTTTAAATTATAAGGTGAAAACCATTGTTAAAAAAAAAAATCTTTACAAGTGTCATTATAATATTATTTATTATAATTTACTATTTGCTTTTTACTAGGAAAATTCAAAACTTCTGAAGTAAGATGGATTTTGGATTTTAGATTTTCAATTTGAACTTTTAAATCTTCTATTGTTTTATTAACCACTTTTTTTTTGACAAAGGAAAAAATTAATATTTCTAAAAATCTAGTTCTTTTGGTTTCTTGATATTTTATTTAATAAATAAAATCATGTATAGATATTACCTACTTTCAATTCTTCTATCGACGATTCCGATTGCTTGATATGCAGAACGTTCAACAAACCAATTATCACCAAGCAATACTAATATTTCATTGGTATGTACAAGTTTTCCTGGCATAAACGCAAATTTACTAATTGGAACCTTTGTTTTTATTTTTCAATATACAATAAATTAATCATATCATATTAAAACATATGAACATTTTTTTACAAACATTAAAAAAAATTTACCATAACATTATGTTCGGTTTCTTTATTCAAAACTTTCAACGTAGATTTCAATGCTTCATAATCTTTCTCATAATTACACCAATGTTCTAATGCTTTATTTGTATCAAAAATTGACTGCTCAATTTTTGATTGATAAAATTTAGTAGAGTCTTCGAATGAAACTTTTTTTTTTCCTTTCGATGATGATGATGATGATTCCATTTTTAAAAAGTTTTGAAAACGATAAAATTGACATATCATTGACACATTTACGTAATAATCTGCATGTATAAGGCTAAATAAAGGTAGTTATTTGCCCAACTAGACGCTTATATATGAGATCATTACGTAATGGATCATTCATTTATGATCAAAAATCGTGGACAACTTTTTTAAATCATAAATAATATTCTTTTTAATTAAATATTTTAATGAGTAAAAAAAGTTCATCAAATTTGAATAATGGAAATACCTCAATTTTTAAGGAAAATTCATTTTTGACAATAAATTCACCTGCGACAAGGTGGTTTGATTGGTTGAGTAATTCTCAATTAGAAAAATGGTCAACTTTGTTAAGCTTAATCTTTGGAATTTATATAAAATGGACTGTAGGTTTAAATCCATATTCAGGTATAATATCTATTAATGTTATTTAGTTTTTTAAAGAAAAAGGTTTGCTTTTATAATTTATGAATTTATTCAGGTTACAATACTCCACCAATATATGGAGATTTTGAAGCACAAAGACATTGGATGGAGTTGACATTAAATGTTCCAATTAAACAGTGGTATTATTATGACACAGAATGGTGGGGCCTTGATTATCCTCCACTGACAGCATATGTAAGTTGGATTTGTGGCAAAATGTATGTATAATTTAAGAAAATAAGAAAATAATTCCAATTTCCATTTAAAATATTAAATCCATATATTTATTTATGCATATATTTTCAATAGAGGATATTTAATTAACCCTGAATGGGTTGAACTAGATGAATCTCGTGGTTATGAAAGTACAGAACTTAAAATATTTATGAGATCAAGTGTGTTAATCCTAGAATATCTGATATTTATACCTTCAGTTTTAGTATTTGTAAATTGGTGGTTTGTTGATTCATGGAAGAAGAAAGTATGGTTTAATATTTTTGAAAATATATATGTCTATTATATATGAATGATACTTTTTAATGTTTGAAATTTGCTGATTAGGAAGTGACAACTTTGTTTATTTTGATGCAACCAGCTCTAATATTAATAGATCATGGACATTTCCAGTAACTATTATTTATTTATTCTAAATGCCTGAGAATATAAGAGAGAATGCTTTCTAATATCATTTGTTGTATTGAATCTCATTAGATATAATTCGTTGATGCTTGGATTTACACTATGGTCATTGAATTGTTTTTTTTATGATTATGATATTTTAGGGAGCATTTTTTTTTGTCTTTCCATATGTTTTAAACAAATGGCACTTTATTATGCTCCTGTGATTTTTGCTTATTTATTAGGAAAATGTATTAAGACAAATGGGTAATTAATTATATAATATATATATATATGTATAATATTATATTGATTAAATTAAATTATTAATTATTATTGTTTTTTAAAAAAAATTATGTAAATAGGTTTATTCTTTTTTTAAAATTAGGCTTAACAGTAATTATAACATTTAGTGTGATGTTTTTTCCATTCTTAGATTCACTTGATCAGATTACACAAGTGATTTGGCGTATTTTCCCTTTATATCGTGGATTATATGAAGATAAAGTTGCCAATATTTGGTGTTCTATAAATGTGATTATTAAATTACGTGAATTGTTTGAAATCTATGTATTAACAAAGTTGAGGTAAATTATTTAATGCTTGTTCAATATATATGTGTGTGTATTAAATATGTTATTTTTTACAACAATAATAATAAATATTGATTTTTTTATAGCCTTTTAACAACTCTTATAGCTATTTTACCAACTTGTTTTTACATTGGAATAACAACTGATAAACATCAACTTGTATATAGCTTAGCAAATTGTTCTTTAGCCTTTTTTCTGTTTTCTTTTCAGGTACATGAGAAATCAATATTATTACCAGCATTGCCCATCACCTTATTAATCATGGATGAACCATTTTGGAGCCCATTGTTTATTAATGTTGCAACATTTAGGTAAAAATTTTCCCCAAATATTCGGATTTCCTGATCTTTGAAACAAAAAATAATTTAGTAAATTAATATATGTTTGTGTGCAAATGCACATTAGCTTGTTTCCACTTTTGAGGAAAGATCAACTAGTTTTCCCTTATCTTATTTTACTTTCAATGTGGAATTGGTTGGGCTCATTCTTTCACCAAAGTACAAAATCTTTATTATTAAGAATTTTATCTTGGGTAAGTTGTTTTTCACTCTCTGAAAATTTTTTTAATTTTTTTTTTTACAATATATATTAATAAAATCTATATTTATTTTTTTATAAAGTTATCATATTTATTTATTATTATTTTTCATATATTAGAATTTAAGGTTTTACCACCTGAAAAATATCCTGATATTTATGTTGTCATAAATGTTATTTTTAGTTCAGGAATATTTATTTTAACATTTATTTATTTTAATTATAAGCAAATGATAGACTTATTTAGAAAACATCACCACCAAGGTTCTAATGAAAAGGGTAAAGTTGAATAAAATAATAAAATTACAAAACCTATATCCAAATCAAGTATTTATTTTTGTATGTGACTTCATAATTGAAGATTGTTTTTTTTTGAGTAAAGATTAAATCAATGTATTTCTTCTTAACAAGTAGAACATAATATAATGAATGGCTGGTTATTTTGTTAAATCTTCCTGACCCCATTTGATCTTTTTGATATTGAGTGTGTTGAAGTGCTGCAAAGTCTCACTTAATACATATGTACTGCAAATTGTTGGTTAAACCATAAACCAAAATCACAGAGCACAGACAGACACTAACATATTTACACCAGTAACACCAACAGCTGAACCAACTTCTACTATTGTAAAATACCTCAACCACTATTAATATTCAAATCACTACACCAACAATATCACCAAACAACTAAAATTCTATTACTATAGCAATACCAAGGTTCACCACCAGCTATCAACCCCAAACCAGAGAATCCTACCAAATAGCTATCACCAACAAAAGTGATTCCAACCAAGTTCCCATATTAGATGTTGAGACAGAATCTTAAAATGTGGTTGTGACTGGCCCACAAAAAAGCCAAGGATCATTACAAATGGGTGGCAGCTAGCAAAAATGATTATTGCTGCTGATGATGTGGAAACCAACCAACAAATCTAATACTATAGACAGCCAGGAATGGGGTTATTATCAAATATGTGTGAAAAATGCCATGAAAACACTAAGGAATCCTGGTTTAATACACCATGCAAAATTGTGAAAAACCAATGACTGAAAAAGTCAATATTGGATGTTTGTTCAGAGATTTGTAAATATGTTTAATGGTCACTTCAGCAAAAGAATTCAAACATATCACTCAAAGAATCAAACATTACATAGAAATTCAACATTGTAACAAGAATGAGAAACAATTGTTAGAGGCTGTGGAGGCCTATTATATCAAATAAAATGGACAACTGGAAGAAGAAGATGCTAATAACATGGAATCACGGAGGGAATTTGGAAGAGAACAGCTAATTTCTTCAATGACCATAATAGCAAATACTCAACCAACCAAGTATACATTGCAAGTGTGCAGTTTCTATTGCTACTCAAGAGGTATCCAATAAATTATATCATCAGGAAAACATGATTGGGGCTATATGTATAACCCACCATGTTTTCCTGATGGCCTGTATAATAAATACCTAGTAAGTAAGTAACTCGGATCACACAATAGCAAATTGAAATCTTTGAAGTATGATGTCTTCAGGAAGTTGTGACATCAATTGACACCAGAAATTCAAATTACAAGTCCAAGGACTGATTTGTGTGATACTTGTCAACACCTTTGAAATGGTTTACATTACAATTAAGAATGTTAGCCCCTCTCAATAAATGATCATCACCAAATCCAAAATGCTGAAATAGTTTTCATAGTTGCTGAAATTAACTTAATTAATTGCCGAAATTACATCCAAAATTATTTGAACACTTTAACTCTATAGCCAAAATTCTGGATAGTTTTTTTATGTCTATGGACATAAAGAATATTGTAAATCCAAAATTGCTTGCCAAAATTGATTTTTTCAAAAACCATTTCAGCTAACATCCTTAATTACAATGCTTGCCAAGTGGAAGAAGCTAAAGGATTATTCAAAATTTAAAGAACATCTGTCCAAGGCAAGATTAGAAAGGAATTATTATAATAAAAATACCAAATCAGCTAAGAATAAAGAAAACTAGTTGATCAAAATTATTCAAAAGGTAAAACACAATATTGCAGTATTGATGTGAGTGCTCATTATAGTTATGATTAAGCCCAAAATATCCATATATTCCATTCAGGTCAACAAGTAAGTAAAATTTATTACCACAGTACATGCAAAGTCCATTTATTTGGTATTCAAGATGAAGCAGTAAGGGAACAAATTAATTAACTACTAAAACAGTGAAAAGGGCAAAAATCTATGGTATTGATGGAAAAAGAGAAAAGATTTTCTAGAAAATTTAGAAAATTTTCTCAGTCTAAATTAGGGGTAATGATGGTTGAAAAAATCAATGGTAGAAATAAACCTCATTGTTGAGAATGAATTAAAGAAAATGCTCCAGATTTTGATATTTTTGTTGATGATAATAACATCAGTATGAGAACACTTGAGAGATGGGGCTTTTGTTATAAATGTAATAAAAATATCACAGGGGATAACATCTACCACTGGGGTGTCCTACATTATATGATTTTACAAACATAGTCAATCATATATATAAATTTTCATATATGACAATTTTTTGCCAATCTTTTTTTCAATAGTAAACTTTGAACAATTATAACTCTTTAAAGAATCGAGATACTGACTCCGAGTTAAGTTTAAAACACTAGAGAAATAGGACAATAAAGCAATAGAAACCTTTTTTTATTTTAATATAAACATTGGCATTTATTTTAAGCTAGAAAATCAAAGTAAAAGTTGTGAATATATGTTACAAAATTTTATGCAAGTAAAATCATAAAAAGTTTTATAAGTTTTAAAGAGCATCAAAAAGTGAATCTAAAACATAAATTTTTGTTTGAATATGGCATCAGGAAAATGGGTACAAATATTATGTGTATATAATATACAATTGCAGGGATTAAGCATATAATATGCGTACAAATCGTGTATTTTTTTATATATGCAAATTGTACATATATTATATCATATTATATACGCATAATATTTGTACCCATTTTCCTGATGATATCATATAGTTTAAGAGTTATTTTGAGTTTTGTAATTTTGTGAAAATAATAATAAATTCACAAACCCCCCTAAAAAATCCTCATTAATGAAAATTTATACATGTGATCAACTATGTTTGTAAATCATATGATGTGGGACACCCCAATCTACCACCTCAAAACTACTGCCTCAGACCAGAGATGGAACCGCAATTAGCCGCAATTCAATTTTCATATGCTGCAACCGCAACCACAATTCAATTTTTATATGCCGCAATTAGTTGCAACTAATTGAGGAACCATCTTTACCTCAGACTTAAAAGATGAAGATTTTGCCAAGGCTGTAGTGGAATATAAAATGAGATTTTAAAGAATGAAAAAAAGTTTGATGGCAAATCCATTTGATTATGAATAGCAGGTACAGCTTTAATTTTAGGTTTTATAATTGTTATGATTTATGTTGTTAAAAGGACTAAAAAGAAATAATAGAATAATAAGATTATTTCTCTTAAGTGATTTTCTGTTTTTGTTGGGTAATAGCACACCTTCATGCTGCTCTCTTTTTCTAGCATTTATTATTTTTAAATTTCATAAGTAATCTTTTCTTTTTTAGATAAGCTTCCAGTGTCTGAATGTCATTTATTTTTTTGAAAACATAAGGAGCAATTTTTCACCTTGTTCTTTCTTCAAATACCTCTAATGTGCTATAATTTTGGGTTCCATAGTAGATCTGATATAAGTTAACAACAAATGGGAGGTTTTAATAATCACATTAAATTTTGATCCCTGAAATACTTGATAGTGCAAATGTTCATTTTGTCTGGTTTTGTTGCAGTATGGTCCCAATTAAGAAATACCAAATTTAGCATATTCCCTGACTACAATAGGCCCCACACCTAGTTTCAGGGTCCTATTTTTGGAAACAAATAAAGATGTAATTTTTTTGATGCACCCACTACTCATTCATCCCAAATCACATAATTTTTGGCGGATTGTCCTTCAATTGAATATTTATGTTATTGGCTGCGCCATTGTTAATAAACAACGCGATCTGCAAATGGGTCAGCCAATCTGATCAAATTGTAGATCTTTGTAGATCACATAACTTCCATTCCTGGTCACATTTTACACTTGCAACAACAACAAACCAAAATATTTCGAATAGACAGACAATCAATAACTAATTCATATCAGAACCTTACTGTTGGTTTTTTATTATATATTATTTATAAGCATTTCTTTTGTAATAATTAAATATGAAATCATTATATATCATATATCTTTATTTTTAATGTCTTTAGGTGCGGCAATTAATAATAAAACATTCGGTTATAGTTTATAATGGCAATTGGGCAGGGTAAAGGAAAAACTAGAAGTTCTAGTGTTGGAGGTAAAACTTTAAGGGGTAAAACAGTAAGAAGACAAGGTGTAAGTGCTTTTAAATAAAATGATATTTAAAAAATAATAAATTATTAACGATGTGAAATAAAACATAAATTATTAAGAAATTGTTCAAAGAAAATGTTAAAAATGTAACAAGAGGAGCAATACGTAGAATGGCGCGAAGAGGTGGTGTAAAAAGAATCTCAGCAGGTATTTATGATGAGGCAAGAACAGCTCTTAAGGACTTTCTATACCATGTTCTTAGAGATGTGGTATCATATGTGGAATATGAAAATAAGAAAACAGTGACACTTATGGAGGTTCTTTTTGCATTAAAACGTAGAGGAAAAACTTTATACGGTTTTGATGTTAAAACATCAAAATCAACATACCTTTTTCAAGAATGATTTTTGTTCTTTATAAATTTATTTATATACTCTTTGTATATAAGTTCATTATTAAAGAATGTGTAGGTGGCAAATAGTTATAATAAATTATTGGCAAATTCAATATTTGAATACACATTAATATTTTCCGTTATCAAATGTTTTTATTAAGTAGATTGATTTGATTAATCGCGATCCAATCTAAAAAAATGATGAATTTATCAAGTATACAGTCGATCATCTTTAAGTGCACCTAATCATATATTTCAGAAAAGAGATTAAGATAATCGAGTTTTGCCTTCTGGTGGTAATTTCTATCCTCAAAACGTGCACTTTGCATGTTGACTAAATACTTGTGCACTTAGGGCTTACATTATTAGGGTAATTTTAATCTTAACCGTTTGTCACAACATAACAGACAAAGGCAGTTAGTCAGTTGTACTTGGACAATACTTTGAAATTTACAAGCAAATTTATAAACAATTAAATGTAACTACACATATAGAATTTATCCCTCTTAGTTTATTATTAAATAAATAAATACTCGTAAATTTTCGTTAATACAGTATTATCAACTAACAACTTTAGTATCCCTATCCTATTACTATTGATATTAATTGGTGCTATAATTTCAATATTACTAGTATTAATTCCATCGTCAACAAACTCATTATCAACCCAAGTTCATCATTATTATTGTTGTTTTTAGTAATTAACGCAAGTGGTACTTTTTTCTATTTCGATAAAATCGACTGTTATCACTTGTGTCTAATATAAGGAAGGTATCAATTTTAGCCAAACACAATTATGTATCATATGATTATTATACAAATTTGAAGTATGATGACGACCTTAATGTTTCCATTAACCGAATACATATTAAAAAAACGGTTTTTTGCAGTATCTAATATCGCTGATTCGTCTGGTTTTAATATCACCATAAACAATTATTCTTCCATCCGATACTAAACCAACGACATATAAATACATACAAATATTAGAAATTATTATTGTTATAAAACCTACAGTCATAGACAATTTAAATTGTTTGATATTGTATAGATACGCCTATATTGTTATAAATTACATTCTTCTCATTGTTGTAACAAAAAAAATTTTTACCTCGGTTAGTTCGTTCATTCGCCAATCAACTGCAGAAATTCCCGAGTAAAATTTACTAATAAAGTTAATTCTTATCCATAATTGTTGCACAAGTAAATCCTTATAGACTTTATAATAACCCAATTGTTTATATTTACCTTTGAGCAGCTGTGTATTCCGCTTCATTTATTATTGTTGTTATTATAGTAATCTCAGCAGGTCATTGGCAGACCACGTATTAACTTTAATGTCTCATATAAATAACATTTTCGTCGTTCAATAGATTGTGATAACTTTCAGGTAAAAAATATTTAAAGCTACAAATGAAAAATCATCATCGATGTTGAAATATTATATATATATATATATATATCACCATATGTGTCTGCTCTATAAATGTTGTCTTGTGTATATATTGTTTCAACAATATAAGGTGATAAAAATAGATCATCAAGGATTTCTAGAGTCCATTTATCAAAGGAATTTATATTTGTTGAATAAACCATAGATCCATAGCAAGCTATAAGATAAATTGTGTCATTATTAATACCTTGTCCTAACGCTAATCTTGCTTTAATATTAATAAAATTATTTATTATTATTATTACACAAAATTTAAATCGGATCTGCCAAAAATGTGGGACATGACCCATCCTATGATTTTTTAAATTGGAAAAAATCATCATCAAAATTTTCAATCATCCATCATGTACTCAAAATATATCGATGTACATGCACATGTTTATCCAGCCTCTTTTCCAAACACTCCAATTGATCAAATATTAATTCGAGCAAGAGTCGCAAATGTTTCTTCAATTGTTTGTGTATCAGAAACCATTGAAGATGCTCGCAGTATTCTCAAGTTGAAACATGATGATGATTCAAAACTATCTGCTTCGTATAGACAAATGATTGAACCTTGTGCTGGTTTACATCCAGTTGATCCATTTGGAGCGAAAAGTGTTGTAAAATTGGAACAAGTTGAACCAATTATTAATTTCATTAAAGAAAAATCATTTGAACTAGTAGGAATTGGTGAAGGTAATTTTTTTTTTTGTGTGTGTGTGTGTGTGTACATATTTTGCTCGACAATAATTGTATAATAATTTTTTACAAACAAAGTTGGATTGGATTTTACACCGCATGTATTAAAAAATGCGATCAAATCATATCCTGAATTGAGACTTGACGAGGAAAGTTTGAAAAAGATTCAACGAGATGTCTTGGCACGACAAATTGCTTTATCATTAGAAACTAGTCTACCGCTAAATGTTCATTCACGTTCGGCCGGTCATTATGTTATTGATTGTTTGAAAGATTATGGAGCAAGAAACGTTGTTTTGCATGCATTTGATGGTCAAGTAAAATATGCAAAAGCAGGTGTTGATATGGGGTTTGTTTAGTTTTTTTTTTTCCTTTCAAGGTAAAAATTGACATTTCTTGTTTCTTCCCTCTCACAAATATATATATATGTATATTTTTTTTTTTTATTTTTTTTTTACAAAAGATTTTATTTCTCAATTCCACCTTCAATAATTCGATCAACAAATAAAAAAAGATTAGTGGAAGCCTTACCATTATCGAATCTTTTACTCGAAACAGATTCACCTGCTCTTGGACCTGTAAGAGGCGTTGATAATGAACCAAACAGTATTGTTGTTAGTGCCAAAGAAATTGCTAAAATTAAGAATTTATCGGTTGAAGAAGTGGTAAGTGGTGTAATTCATATTGATATGTGTACATTGATTAGTTAATTAATTTATTTTATATATATATAGATTCATCAAACTACAGAAAATGCATATAAATTATTTCCAAAAATCAATAAAACCAATCTTTAATAATATCTGATATACAAATATATATAATTTTAAAATTAACGTTATTATAAATAATTATTAGAAAATCAAAAAGTTTTTCTCTAAAGAATTCCTTGCGAGTGTTCTTTTGCTTTGTAAAATTTTATTGTGCGCCACAATTAGATAGACATTTCTCTGAAGAATAAAAATTTTTTTCCTTGTTGATAAAATAGAAATGATCTTCAATTTATTTGTAATAAAACGAAATTTGAAATTATTTTTTGCTCTTTATTCTATTGAGAAGATGGCAAGTTTGACTTTAACAGCTCCAGTTTTAAATATTCACAACAACCGAGAAAACAACAACAACAACAACAATGATGATGATGATGATGGAATTGTTGCTATGGATGAAGATTTGAATGATTTGAATAAAAATGTAGTGATTACAGTAGGAGGCGAAGAAGGATCAGAAAGGAAAATGTTCAAGACAAATTCAGAGATATTAAAAGAGAAATCATCATATTTCAATGCAGCTTTATCATCCAATTGGGCGAGAATACAAGATGGTAAATATCATTTTGAAAAACCAAATATTTCACCACCAGTATTTGAAATAATTCTCGAGTAGGTTTTTCTTTTTTTTTTTAATTAATTGATTTATTTATAATAAATAATAATTATTAATTGGATATTTTTATCTAGTTATATAGAGACAGGAAATTGTAATTTGGATGAAATTAAAACAGTAGAAAATTATTATTATGGATTGCTTTTAGCATCAGATGAATTGGAATTATTGGAATTATTGAAGTATGTAGAGAAACATATTTTACAAAATGGAATTCCATGGCTATGTGAAAATGTGGTGAAGGTGTATTCTGCAGCATATGGAAATCAATGTATTACAGAATTACAAGAACTTTGTGTTAAGCTTATTTGTGAAAAACCAAATATATTATTTAAATCTAAAGATTTTCCTTGCACCAATAAATTGGCATTGATTAATATTGTTAAAAAAGATTATTTAAACACTAATGAACTTCAAGTATGGAAAAGTATTATAAATTGGGGTGTTAATCAATACCCTAAATTATATGATGATGGTGGTGATGGTGATGATATTGATATTGGGGGTAATGATGATGGTGATGATGGTGATGATGGTGATAATGATGGTGATGATGATGGTAATGATAATGGTGATGATGATGATAATAAAGAAAATCTTGCACCATCACAAAATCTCGATGAATCTGCATCAAGAAAAGGTATATCAAAATCAGAAAATTTAGAAAAATTTAAAATAATGAAAGAAAGGTTAGAAGACGTTTTGCCACACATTAGATATTTTGAAGTGACACCTAATGACTATTATAATTTCATTAGACCATATCAAAAGATATTACCAGAAGAACTTAGAAATCGTTTACACAATCATTATATAGTCAACATACATCATTTACCATCTGGCACATTAAAGAAAAGAGTTCCAGTCAGAAGCTCTAACATCTTTACTAACGGACATTTTGCAATTATAAAGAATTGGATTAGAAGAATAGAAGGTGGTGGTGGGGAAGTGGGAAGCATTAGAGGGGAAGTGGGTACAGGAGGAATGGGGACAGGAAGAGAAAAAAAAATAGATTACAAATTTAGTCGCATAAAATCAGGAACAAATAATTTTGATAAAAAATATATAACTCGAAGTAGCATTGATAAAAATTTAAAAGGTTCTAAATTATTTATAATCAAAGTCAGAAATATTACTAATGATATTATTGGGGGATATTTCTCATTTTCCGAAAACAACAATGGTGCCAGCAATAATAGTGACAAGACTAGTAGTAATAACACTGGTAATAGATACAGAACTTCCATCTCTGCCATTAGCGCTGCTACTAGTAATCTTATTGCTAATAAGCTTGTTAAGGATAATAATGAACCATTTTATTTGAGCACAAGTAAATGTTTTATATTTTCATTTAAGAATAATGGATATGATGGGATTTATAGTGAAGTGATTGATAAAGATCGAGCAATTAAGATTAATGGGGAACAACCTAATTCTTCTCTAATTGGATTTAGTTTTGGTAATGATTTAAATCTTACACAAGAAACTTATAAATGTGAAGATTACTCTAAAGAAATTGTAAATTATAAGACATTTCTAACTAGAGAATATGAAATTTTCGAGGTATTGGCTATTTAACAAAACAAATACATAAATTTTTTGGTCAGATTTACATTTTTGATCGACTTGATCATCTTGCATTACATCATCATACATGAAAAAAAAATCTAAACCTTTTTTGCAATACAATTTAATTTAAAAAAAAAAAAAAAAGAAAAAAAAATTTTGAAATTATTTATTTTCATATTTTGGAAAAATAAAAAAAAACTTTTATATCATGTCACACACGCGCATCACGCACCACGCACACATTTTTTTTTAAAAAAATATATTGATTGATGATGATGATATTATTATATTATTACAAATAAAAAAACTTTCTAGAAAAAATATTATAATTACATTTAATAAAATAAAACGAAGAAATGATATTTTCCCTCAATGCTTATGAAACTTAATAGTAAAAATGAAAGATTTACGAAGAAAAAAAGGAGAAAAAAAATTTAAAATAAAAAAAACGATCAATTATTACTATCATTATTATTATTATGATGATGATGATGACGATGACGGCTATATCATAATAAACGAAATTTTATAGATTATTCTCTTGTCATGAAATTATATATCATATATTTTTTATAGTATTATTGCATATTTATTGAGATATTCCCCTCCCAATTTAATCTTAATTTGACATTGTCATCGACACGGACCGGAATCGAAATTGGAATCGAAATTGAAATCGAAATTGAAATTGAGATTGAAAAATCGACATCTAGTAGTAGTAATATTATTATTATTATCTATCATTTATTCATATTACATGTATCATATATCATATATTAATAGTAGCAACGATTGCTCTTATGATTAGATAACGGTGATTTTTAATTAATTAAAAAATTTTATATGACAAGAAAAATAATCCGCATATTTTTTGTGTTGTGGAGGATGATGACGAGTTTTAAAATTAAAAGTGAGATTTAAAATTGAGAGTTCAAATCCAAACGGATCTTTAAATATTTAAATAAAAAAAAAAAGGCGAGTAGAATTGTGTGACAATTTGAAAGATGATTGATTGATGTGATGTGTGTGTGATGATGTAATTTTATTTATTGAACAATTAAAAAAATTTTTTTTTAAATAAAATTATTAAATAAATTTTCTCATGTGAAATTGCCCATTAAACACATGAATTAATTGAATCCAAATTTATTTATAATTTTTATCTGCTTAGATGAAATTATTTGATTTGATTAGTTTGTTTGTTTATATCTAATTTGTGTGTTGTAAATACAAGTGTGAATGTATGTCGCTTTATATGTAAATATGCCATTATTATTAATTCACATATAATGACAATTGTTATCATTATTGTTGTTAATAATCACCTCATTACACAAATTATCTTTTGAGAGAAGATAAAATAATAATAAAGATCACTAATTAATTTTCCTTTATTATCATTACAATTTTTGTAGTAGTAGCACGAAGTTTAACGGAAAATTTTTATTTTTTGTCTCTCCTAGCCTAGTGATAGAATCACTCCGACTTATGAAATTAATGGTGATCCAATGAAATGATCGACGTTTCTACGGGTTTTTTGGACCCTTTTTCCAAACCTTATATCTTATTGTGTCCGACGTCAAACACGTTAAACATGATGTGTGAACTGGTAAACATAATGATAATTAACCCCCAAAAAATTTATTTGCACCGTTAAAAAAACTATTTTACTAATCGATAGCCCGTCAAACCAATGGCTCCACCTCAAAACCAATGGGGTTTTGCTAGTATAAAGTATTCATAACGTTATGATCATACCGTACTGGATTTTGGGGTTCAAACAAAATCAGCACATATGTGTATATTTTTTGAAAAACATAGAGATTATAACTATTTATGAAATCTTTTGTTATTTTTTATTTTATTATATCTAGTTCTCAAAAACTTTTAAAAAAAAAAGTAATAACCAATTTTATCACACATTCCTGTAGAGAGTTCAAATACATCAATTCTCAAGTTATGGCCTTAGTTTTTCAAATTTATAAATCTTTATATTAAATATTAAAATGTAAACTAATAAACAAATAATAGACATTTACTAATTAAGATTTAGCTTTAATAGAATAAAGAATTTGAGATCATATTAAGTAAGATATTGTTACCTATTGAACTTATAAAACCAAAAAATTACAATGAATGTTAAAATAACTATCTATTATCTTGAATGCATAATTAATAATATATAATAAACATGTCTTCATTCCATAATGCCATCTATTTTATATTAATAACAGATTTAGATGATAAAGAGGTTCTTTTAGGATACTTTTCTCTGCTCCTCTATATAGAATTGAAAAAATTGATAGCAATACATTTTTTTTCTATCATATGTGATGCTTACTTTCATAAACACAATAGATACTTTTTTTTTTTTAGTAGTAAATTTTGACATAATTTCTATAAAATAGTTTTCATTAAACTTATTAGCCAACACCCTCATAAAGCAATAACCATATGAAATATTGTAGTATTTTACACCTTCCTAGCCATCTATCTAGCCTTTGAAAAATATTCTCAACTTTGAAGTGAAAAACAACACCAGTTTTCGGTTTTTGAACACATGTTAATTATCATGGATAATTATTGTGGAGTGTATAAGTTCGTTCTTTTATTTGTATATAAAGTATAGGAATATTGAAATTTCTATGTATACACCTATTCTCTGGACCATTCCTTAATCCATGACGGCCAAATAATGAACTCTATACAAGCATTAAAAAAATAGGACCTCGGACAATTATATTTGAACTGGTATTATCAAAAATGGGTAGAAATTGGCTTTTTTTTAGAAACTGGTATGTAAAACGGATACAGTCAAACCTCGTCACAGTGGACCTCGCCACAGCGGATTTAAATATTGACCCCTTTTTTTATTTATTAAAAATGTTTGTCATAACGGATTTATTAATAAATTTGTTCCACAACGTTAACGGATTTTTGATGGGGGTCTTTCTATATGGCTACTAATCTCATAACAGTGGATTCACGTGACATATTAATTACAGTCAACCCCCTCTAAGTGCATCCCTCTTGGGAATGAGTGATAGCGTGCACTTGGAGGGGGGTGTGCACTTAGAGAAACAAAGCATTTCATTGGTTGCACGTGACTCCAATAAAGAATAAAAATTTATTAATTAATTATAACATTATTATCACTTGAAAAAAAATTTTTATATAATTATTGATTAAGATAAGATTCTATTGTAGTTTGCCTCATTGTATTTATTGTTTTCAAACTAATATATCTATCAAGAGAATTAACCAGTTTTATTTGTTGACTAGAATAAACAAAATTCATATTTTTGAGAATTAGATAAAGTTACTCTTTTTGGAGACATTTTATTTAGAAGCAATAAAAGAATAAAATATTTAATGAGATGAGTGTGAGTGCAAAAATTAGATGGTTGGGTATGTAAGAGAGTATATATTATTTTTAATTTATTAATGATAAGGTTATAATAGAAGTTTTATTTTTAAAGTTGGTTACAAGAGTGTCATCACCAATGTAATTATTATTATGATGATTAAATTATCCAATGATAGAACTGCTCAAAAGCACTTTATTATATTTAATAATTTGACTATTTTACTATTCCAGAAAATATTTGATGAAAATTCAAATTGACAAATAATATATATAAACAGCTGAATTCTGGAAAGGTCCTATTTCTAAATACATACTGTCTAAAAATTTTATGCCATGGTAGCAAGACCATAATTGGATTTTATCCACTTCATGCATAATTCCATGTTTAGATACAGCTGGCCAGTTATAGGCCTGAAGTTACATCTTCATAGATGTACCACAAAATTTCTAGTGCTTAGAGTTTTGAATTATTCATAATGCTAATACAGATCAATCTTAATCTTAATTTCAATTCAACTATTCATTCTATTGTTTTCATTAATCTTAACTTTTTTTTTAAAACACAATATCTATGCAATTACTACATTAATCTGAAAAAAAGTAATTGCATAAACACTTTTGGTTTAGTAGGGTTGCTAAATAAAGACCTAATTATTTTTTTAACAAATTTTGAAGGAAAAAAAAATAATAATTGATAAGATTCATGAAAAGATTAACATTTCAATCAAGATTTATATATGTAGTACCCACTACTGATCCAAAAAGGTCAAAAATAAAATTTTAAATTTTAATTGGTTAAAATAATTTGCCTTATGATTTTAATGTAACTCTTTAAAAATCAAAGAAACTGATAAATTAGTACATGGCTATAATACAGTTGGTTAGAAGTCTCTAGGTGAATATTATTGAATTGAAACAAATAAAAAACGTAGTCATGTAGTTAAAATGTTAATATAACTTTTGGTAATGCACAATTTTGATTTATACCACCCATATATGACTGAACCTTATTGTGATTATTTATTTATATATTGAAGTCAAGGAAAATCTGGTCTGGTCTGATCTGACACGGAAAACGTTTTAAAAGATGAAGGATTATATTACTGCAAAGTTTGAACACAGGTTAATTAGTGTTCGTCCATTCACCTTCCGAATGGGATAATAGTACTTTAAAATTTTCAATTGAAATGTATATTGGTGATCGTGTAACATACGAATGTCCATCATGCTCATATATATACTATACATGAAGTCAAAATGTTTCAACTACATAGTAAAAATCAGTTTCGACCTTATTTCGACCCTATTTCGACCAGGACTGCAAATGGTCGAAATAGTTTCGACTTCATGTATAATATTATATGTGTGTATCAAAATATATATTTAAATTATTAGAAAATAATATTCTCATTTAATTAACTAACAAAAATAAATTATAATATTACAATAGTTATATCATCTCCAAAAGAAATTAGATTTTCATCTTTCAAAGCACAAAGATTGAAGTAATCTAAGCCTGCTAAAGGTGGGCCATCATTACTTGGTGTTAAGATTGTAAATACTAAATTTTTAATATTAAATTTATATATCATTGGATCATTGTCATTCATTAAATATACGTTTCCATAATTATCTTGTGTATACATTGTTAATGCAATTTTATTTAACTGTGATTGCCCATCAAGATTTTCTGGGGTCCATGTATCAAATGAATTTGTGTTTATTGAATAAACTATACCAGGTTGTGAAGTTCTATGTCCACCTATAACATAAAATGTGTCATTATTAGCTCCTCCTAATACCAGTGCTCCACCAACAAATGAAGGTATGTCAGATTTTGGAAAAATTTGTTTTATTGGTAATGTCTGATCAAGTGTAAATGATGTGGATAAATCTAGGTAAATTATTTGGTTTATAATATCAGACTTAAAAGACTGTCCTCCAACCAAGTAGAGTTTATCATTAAATATAATTGAACAGTGAGATTGTATATCTAATAATTAACCAAATACCAAATATGTAAAATTATCTGATAAAAAAAAAATTGAAAATTATTAAAAATTATGAAAAAATAGTTGAATTTCGCGCGTGCGAATTTAAATTTCAAACCCCACACATCTCCCTGCATAAATTCTATTTCTGGTGCTGACTTACTTGATAAAGATTATGTGTGTTGATATTCGTCAGTATTAGGGAAACCTGGATAACAATTTGTTTTTGTTGTTGATAATGATGCCGATATTGATATTGATATTTATTCATCATTGTTAGCAGAAACTGTTTTTTTGAGCTGGGGTTTCTTTTTTTTTTCAAAACGCGGGAAGAAAATGAAAAATTCAATAAGGAAATGGTTCTAAATTTGTCAGTAGGGCTTTCTGTTCGCCACAACCTTTCTTATTTAATAAATGATATTCAAAACACCCTACTCTATTAGCAGAAAAAAGCTAATCATTGACAAAAAGAAGTATAGGTTATAATCGGGTTATAGTAACTTATTTTATTTCTATTTTTGCATACGTTTAATACTATTACTATGTATGATATAGTCAAAAAAGAAAAACGACAAACTTTAAGATGAAGAAATGTGATTCTTTTCTTTTTCTTTTGTAATGAAGATTTTCCCAAATTTAGGGATGTTAATGGTTCGGTCCAGACTGAATAGACTACAGTCTGGTTTAGGTATCAAAGACCATTTGAACCGTTAAAAAATTTTTTTATCACAAAAGTATTTATTTTGTTAAAAGTAAAATTATATATTTCAATTAGAATTATTCATTTTATTTGTTTTATATACTCATTTTATTTGTTTTATTCATATATTCGTTTTATTTCATTTTATTCATTGTATTCATTATTTGTTTTATTCATCCATTATATTCATTTTATTCAAATGTAATTCGAATACTAAATTCATAATGAATAAAATAAATTATTTGAAAAAATCTTATTCAAATATAAACCTGACATTAAAAGAAATTTAGAAACCTGGTTTGATTCAATTCAAATCAAACTGAGTCATGAATCACTTTAAAATTTGACTCGATTTGTTGATCCTTAATTATGCATTTCCAGGAAAGTAAATTTCCCTAACTGTAATGACCCTCAAATTTAACGTTACATGGTGGACCCATTAACCTTAAAACATAAAAA